ACTTCTTGAAGTAGGAATTCCGGAAGAAAAGGGCGAATAGGTACAAATAGCTTGAGTAGAGCAGCAGGGAACTGAGGATATCGTTCCAGGAAATCCGGCAAGCTTCGATGCCGTCGACAAAGCGGATCTTGTAAGCTGTTGCATTCACCACGCAGCCGATTGCCTGCAACGAAAAAAAAAAAACATTGTTATAAAATCAATTGCAGTAATGACGATACGGTGGTGCTCCTACATATGGACGATTCCACTCAGGGAAACGACATCTCAAAAAATCTGCTCCAACATCCAGGAAACGTCTCGATCGAAATACGGACAATTTATCAACCTTTTTAGACAAATGGAAACATTTAATTTTTCAAAATTTAGGTATCTCTTGAAAAAATTGCTCATTATGATTTTCAAAAAAGTCAGAAAGAAATTTTAACCTCAATTCATTATAGTGTAATTCTAAATCCAAATTCTTCTCCTGAGGTATTCCTTTTTTCACGCTCTGTAAATTTCTCCGAGGTTTTCTCAACGTTATTATAGAACATAGATGCTATTTTTTCTCGCTAATATTGTCTCCATGCTGGGATTTTCTAACTATAGCAACTGTAGTGAAAAGCATTGAACTCTTCAGTCACTGGGGAAAGCTCAGCTGCTGACCCGCGTACGATGTGTGCATATGTTTTTAAATTCTTACTGTCACGAACATGACAATTCCACTGCGGAAGGCTCGTGTGCAGTTATTGGAAAACAGAAAAAAAGGATTTTTCTGCCGCATCACACGGCTGTGCATGATTTGGATTTATTTTCTGAACTCACGTGCTGTTTTTGAGTGATACACAGTAAAGTATACTAGTTGAATCTGTCAGCGAAATCAAGTACAGTATATGTTTCAGAGGCTCACGTAAAGGGAGCGTATCACAAGCGATTTTTTTTAAGGGAAAAAAGTCAAATACATTTGCACAATTGAACCTCAATAACTCGAGTCTCCCAGAATCGAATACAGTACATCCCTAAGTAGATTTTTATAGTCCCTGCCTGAATTCCCTTGGGAAAATCCATTAAAAACCTCTCCAACTCACCCTTGAAACCTCCGTAATAAGTAAGTCAAATTTTCTGGAGGCCTTTTTTGTCTATTATTTTATCAACACAGAAAAAGGCAAGAGCAAGCAAAATTAAACTTGATACGTTTTTAAAGGAAGAGAAAAACTAAAAGGGCAATTGAACTCTTGCCTCCAAGTTCAGCATTCTGTGAACTACTCCTCATTCAAGAAGCAATTTAATGCATAGAATATCACCAATTACATTTTCATGGAATTCTTCTTTTTCCCCATCGCAAGTGCCGCGGTTTCTCAAACTAGAACCTCACTAACTTGAGTTTTTTTTTTTTCACGTGTCCTTTGAAAGTTGGCTTGGAGGCTCACGGTTGAATCTGGGCAAATCAAACCTCTACAAGTTGAATAATTACTTTGACAACATTTATTCAAACGCATTACTGATTTTTTCTGTAGAAGCAATGCATTAAAAACCATCTCAACCTTGGAGGCTCTCTACTGCGCTCAAACCTCCAAAACTCAAATTTTCTGGAGGCCTTTTGGCTATTATTTTATTGACAGAAGAAAGAGAAAAGTAATATGGAAATGTAACTTTATGCGTTTTTAAAAGAAAATAGAAAACTAGGTTGGGGCAAATGAACTCTTGCCTCCAAGTTCAACACCCTGTCAACTTATTTAGAAAGCAATTTAGTCTAGAAAAATCACCAATCACAATTTCCTGCAATTCTTCTCTCCCCTCCTTCCCCAACAAAAATGCTCTTTCCCCTAAATAACTTGATTTCTTTTGCTGGTCTGTTCATTGACGTTTGACTTGAAGAGGTTTGAAAGTATACATGCACTATAATTTCGTTACCACGAATCTCTTTAATACAAATAATCACTTACAACGAAGTCATTTTGAGGTCCCTATACCAAAAATCTACATGCAAAGTTAATTCAGTTTATTTTTTTTAACGAATTTTTCTTCACAACGAAGCTATGTCACTGGTCCCAGCAATGGCTTCGTTGTAACGAGATTTTACTGTACAGCAAAAAAAAAAACTTACCATTTGCAAAATTTGCATGGTCGTGATGATCATGGACACGGCCTTGGGCGTGTGGATTCCTCGGGCACGGAGAGCATAGTAGGAATACATGACGCTGTGGACGATGAAGTTCATGGTGACGAACCAGCGTCCGGGGCCTATGACGCATGACACCGCGTACCAGGTGTACATCAGTACGGTAATGTGGTGGTACCAGTGCAGGAAGATGAGTGGTCGCTTGCGCAGCACGATGAACGCTGTGTCCAGGAGCTCTGGTACCTTGGAAATGGCGAACATGGTCGTCCAAAATCCGGACACTGAATCCTCTTCGAAGAAGCTGTGCGGAAAAAAATTGCAAAAAAAGGAAGATCCGAAATTAGCATCTTATTACAGTATTTAACTTTGGACAGGAAATGTTATGAACACATTTTACATATCAGGCATCGTGAGAAAATGCCGATGAGAGAATAAAGATGCCGGAATAATGTAGAAAAGGACAGAGAAAATGAGCTTTTTGGTGGCAAAATTTAATTCAATGTCATGAAATGTAATGATTATTTTGCAGGATTTTTATTCGATATAAACGTGTCATTTTTGGCATGATCTCCTTACAACCTCGTGAATATTCGCGTAGAAGTTGTAATACTGTATATTGTTCACTGATTCCTCAAGCCTATTTAGATCGACGTACAATTACAAAAAAAACCTTTTCCTTATTCTTGAAGCAGAAGAAAAGTCGGAACTTATTTTTTTGGAAAGCTAAAAAATAAATTGCACCGGAGAGCAGAAAATCCTGCAGCGAAAAACTCACCGCAAAGAAATTCTCAAAATAAATTTACGAAATCATAAAAAAATTGAATTTTTGAAAGAATTTCGGTGTTCGCATCTTTGAAAGCTTTCTATAGAATTTTGTTGCATAGGAACGTCAAAATTCGATCAAATACTGGGAAACTTTCTCCCAAATGTTTCGATCTGATTTCTTCGGCTTGGTGAATTTATCAACGCATTTTGAGAACAAGAACCCAAAGCGTTGTTATTATTCGGATAAAAGCATATGCAATTATGGATGAGATTCGAATTTGCTGTGAATGTTTCTGAAGTGAGGAATGTATTTCTTGAAATTTCGTGTGAAAGCATAAGGCAGCACATCGATGTGAAGAATTTGATAAGATCATCAACGATTGGAAGTAACAGGAATAAAAATGAAAAACAACAACTTCATCCCAATTTCCACCTTCCTCTTGCTGTTATTGCTCTTTTTGATTTGTAACTGTTCTTGCTTTTATAGATTTCCCATTCTTGATTTTCTTCACGGTATAAGCACAGCTGATCCGTGCTTCCTAAAAAGTGAAACTTTATACGAATCAAATAGTTCAAGAAGTTGAGTTCTCATATCACATGCTGTAAAGAAAAGAAGAGCACTTTTCTCTTTCTGATGCACTGTTGATTACATCAATAAGCAAATTGCGTATGGGATTGGTTATACAGTACTGTATTAACACAATATGATGCATGCAATATATTCTTTCTGTTCTTCTTTTAAAATTGAAGCATACTGCATTTTCTCAAAGAAATATATAGTACTATAATTATACATTATCCAGTACGTGTAAGAAACAAACTCTCTGCATCCTGAAAGACGCAGAGTACCGAAGAAAACTCAAAACAAATTTATTCAAGTCATCAGGAATTCCCCATCATGTGATTAACACGCACACCCTGCTTTTCATGCATAGAGGATGCAATCTGTTCTGTCCATTTTTTTTGTTTAATTTTTTCAAGTCACATTTTGCTTCAAGATTGCACTGCATGTGTGAGTGTGGCAATTTTTGGATTGGGAATTTTAGCTGTGCTTGACTTTCTATTTTTTTTAAAGCTCTGAATTGATTTCAATGTGCAATCTGTTTAAAAGTTCAGTTATTTAAAATTGTTGATCTTTATTTGCGAAATAAACTTTACTTCTCCTTTGTGATTTCTGCTGATGGAGAAATCCCCTGCCATGTTCCCCAGTGGTTTATTTGTTTATACTTTCCACCACGCTTTTCATACTCTCTTTTAATACGTGATATAGCCCACACCATCTTTCCACTAGTTCAAAATCACAATTGGGATAGCCGTTGAGCCACTAATGTGATAAATAATTTTTTCCTGACTGGAAAGGGAAAATGTAACATGTAAAAATAAGAATTACTGTAGTTCATAAATATAGATATCGGTCACTTACAGCACTGTGAAGAATTCTCTACACAACTACATTTTAAATTTGTTTCAGGTCGATTTGAAATTTGAAAAAAAAATTTACTTAGTCCAAAATTTCAGCATTTGACTGCAAATGTTTAGTAGAATTTTGAGGAGAGGTATGTTTTAGGCTTCTGTATGTCTATAACAAAATAGCTTCATATATTATTTTTCAAAACTCCAGTAAGCCTCAAGTTAAATTATCTAATACATTAATCACACTGATATATGATGAAGGAGTCTATCCTCAGCCAACACTAAACAAAGTTGAAAACTAAGCATAAAAAATTTAAAAGTCTTAAATTTCAAGGGGTTGAGATTTTTTCCTGTTGTATAGATATTCACAAGACACATCTTAATTTTATAAAATGACGTTGACGTCAGTCTCACATTATGCCATTGAAATAGTGTAGAGTAGAAAAAGCACAATTTTTTCACAGATTTTGCAGGGGGAAAAACTTTTGCTAGACAAATGGGTTCTGAAAAGACACATGTTTCAATTCAGTCAATAAGAAGATTTAGAATTAGATTATCTCTAATTGATGATTATCTTCTTACTACAATGGTGCCTTGCCTAGTGAACAGAATCCATTCCAGCAGTGTGTGTGTGTTATGTAAAGCGTTTGTTAGGCAAGTCATGTTTTTCCGTACAATTCAATGTAACATCCAGTAATTGATTCCTGTAAATGAAATCTGCTGCAAAAATGATCAAAGTTTCCCAAATTTCTAGAAAGCCCAGAGAAAAATTCTTTGAAACACCTACAGTTTCTTCTGCAGATCTTCCCATTCAAATCAGCTTGCTGCTCTCTATTCTAAAAAATGCATAGAAACTACCCCACTTGTACATCATGCATATGCAAAACCTATATGAATAAAGCTGGAATCAATCATCATGTATGACTTTGTATATACTGTATGTCACTTATGCATGCTGTTCAAGCATTGGTGAAACCTTTTGCAACCTACAATTGAACCTTGATAACCCTGGAACCTCCCCAAGTTTTCAAGTCCACGTCTGAATTGATTAGAAAATATGCAGGATATCCCTGCAAATTTGATCATCAAATTGGAGGACAGTCAAATTGTGGGAGGTCAAATTGAAAGGTACTACCTGCATTGTGATTAATGCACTCTATCACTCTATTCACTCTATCTATTGAAAGAAAGTGGAAATTAAATATGCAGATTTTTCCTTCAATATCAAAGAGTTCTCAAATAAATGTAGCACAGTAATAAATACAACACAATTGTCATACACAAAGCAATCAGAGGAAACATTCCTACATGTTCTACTCTAATATTGTGAATCATTGAAAGGAAATTTTTTTTTGCAAGCATTCAACCCCAAAAAATGAAAAATACCTTATTTATAAGTAAAGTACATATCCTAGCATGGTGCAACATTTATAAACGAATGCAGACCTACAGTAATGTAAATGAGCATCACGTAGATTATTGGAGAAATGTATAAGAACACATTAATTCAAGGGACCGCAAAGTCCCACATTTTAACGTCATTGCTTCAGCATATCATGAATTGTTTGAATAATTATCCTGAAAAGTCCGGGAATTTCCTTCCCTTAAGTTTGTCACATTTTTCATCATTCAATTTGAAGTGCAAATATACAGGATATACAATGCAACTTGAATGTTTGTATGTTTCCTGAGGTCTAATTCATAACAGAATTATCACAGATTGTTGGATAACCCCTGTTTATTACGTTAAAAAATGATCGAAATTGATCAACTGTACGCATGAATGTGATGCATTTAATATGACTTGTCATTTGACTGTGTTTAATTTGAGTGATAGTCACTAACTCGGAAAAGTATACTTGTACTGTACACTTGTCTCAAGTAGACCAAAGTTGCTAAAAAAAATGAGTTCTCACACACATGAAGAAAAACTTGTATTCTTATCAAACATTTTTGATAAAATTGTATACCCAAGTAAGGCGCGCATCTCTTTTTTTAGTACTATGTTATTCTAAAAATGAAAGACTTCAGCATTCAAATTTCAACAGGAATTCAACCTGAATTCAATCAATTTTCGATTTTTGCGATTTAAAAAAAGTTCCGTTTAAAATTCTCCGGTATATTAGAGGTCTAACCTGCACTTGAACTTCTAAAGTGCACCCGATTTTTAGTGAATGGAAAATACAACATCTAACAATTAAAAGGCACCAGAATCCAAAATTTAACATGAATTCAATTTGAATTTGTTTGATTTTAAATTGTTTTCTCTTTTAAAAGGTTCCTGTAAGAAAGTTCTCATTATATTGAAAGTGTGGCTCACAACTAAACTTCTAAAGTTCACTCCATTTTTGTGTGAATGAGAGCTAAACTATTTATAAAAAAGAGAGACACCAGAATTCATGTACTGTATAAATAGAAATTCAACCTGAGTTGAATCATTTTCAATTGTTTTGATTTAAAAAAATCCTCTAAAAATGTGCAATTGTACTTTAGAGTGACTTACACATAAACTTCTGAAATGCACCCCTTTTTTGGTGACTGAAAAGCTACAATACAGGTGGACTCTCTACAATCAATTTCAGAGACGAAAAAATTGTTCTTGAGAGAAGTTTATTCTGGAGAAAACATAGAACATGGCAAGAGCAAGCTATGGCGGCCATGGAACCTAAACAAAATTCATTGCACAGAGAATACCATTGTAGACAAGATCATAGTAGAGAATGTCCAGCTGTGCTTAAAAATAAGCAGCACCAAAACCCAAAATTGAACATTAATTCAACATGAAATTGATCAATTTTCAATCGTTTTGATTTTTTTTGAAATTTCTGTGAAAATGTTCCATTACATTCAAGTGTGACTTTTACCTAAACTTCTGAAGTGCACCTCATTTTTATTGACTGTTGAACTACAATATTTCAAAAGTGAGAGGCACAAGACTTCAAATTTGAACATAAATTCAACCAGAATTCAATTAAGTTTCAATTGACTTCATTTGAAAAAGGTTCCTTTGAAAATTCCCCTTTACAGGTGATGCCCTGCAATTCAACCCTAATCCATAGCTGGGTAAG